CTCCCAATTGAAACTTTTAAACCAACCTGTGCTTTCTCTCCCAAGATAGAAAGGCAGGCACACTTGACTCACAGGTGAACACTCTAAGGTGCCGGTGTTGGATGAGATGCGCTTCCACCTTCACCATCTGTTTCCAAACCTCCCAGGCTCTAGACAGAAAGATGCAGGAAGCCATCGCTATGACGTGACACACAGATGGCGTGATGCGTCATTTATCTGTGTTAAGTCGGCCGCCTGTGGGTTGGTCTCTGGTAGCGGTTTAGGCCACTCCGGAAGTAAACATTTGCGGAGTCACAGCACATTGGGATTGGAAGGGACCCTGGGCACAATTGTCAAGTTCAACCCTCACTCCAGCTTCGATCTCCTTCCCACATCACTGACCCGGGGATCTGCGGTCCGTCCAAACAGTCCCTGGCACCGGAAGCATTTGGACAGATCTACTGTTTAGACACGCCTTTGGTGCGTGGGGCTGAAATAGGCCTCTCGGTGGGGAGGATAACGTTTAACACCAAAATCACACACGAAAGCCCTTTGGTGAGTAAGTACATGGTGTGGCTGCCGAGTGGCGCTGAAGTTTGGAAGTGGACATGGATGTTCCGGAATTAAGTTACGGACCTATGACACTCGGGCGCTGAGAAAGGCCACTGACCACAACCACAGGCACGAGGAAGGGCCAGCCCCCTGGGGGAGAGAGGTGGGGTGTGCCCTGCCTCGGCTGGGCCAGTGCTCCGGGCAGCAGCTGCTGAGCCCCTCTCACTGTTGATGAACTGAGAAAAGGGTTCCCCCTTCCACCTAGGGGAGCCAGTACAAGGAGGACTGACCACCTTTGCCACACTGCCCAGAAATGACCGTTACCCACGGGGACAATTGAGGGCTGAGAGGAAAATAGAAGGCAGCCACTGCCCACGCGTGTGCGGACAGGCCTGGCTCTGTATGTGAGTGCCGCCGGCCATCCAGCACGGTCGTCCAGCATGGTCTCCACTCGCCCCAGGCCCGGCCTCCTCAAAGGGAAGAAGCTCAGGCCAGCCCCGGTCCGTACTCGTGTGGCCTCCAGCTGCACCCCCCTCCCTGCCTCCAGTGAGACGCTTCCAGTGCACCCAGGAAGTTCAAAAATTAGTCACCATGGGTCATGTTAAGGTAACTACTCAGGCATTTCCTAAGAAAAAGTACCCCCGGTACGAGCCGGGACTGCAGGACAACCTCAACTCCAAAGCTGATGAGCCTGAGTCAGCCAGTCCCCTGTGGCCAACTGTGCTGCTTCCCTGCCTGTGGTCAGGAGTGGCCATGTCTCAAAGTGACAAGGGCCCAGGCTCCAGGACGGCAGCGAGTCCTCAACAATCTGGCAACTCCGAACCGCCTGTGGCGCCCACGCAGCAGGCTGATGCCTGGCCTCGGGCCTTTGTTTCGGCCGCTCCGGCAGCCCAGACAGGAGTTTCCTCACCCGACGCTCCCCGAACACTGAGCTCGGAAGGCCTTTCCTCAGTCCCTCTGCCCCACCCACACCCCACCCCTGAATTTACCACAGTACACCAAAACGGCCCATCTGCCCACCCGCGGGGCCTCTGCCCGGCTGGAGACGGGCCTTGTTGTCCAGGCCTCGTTCCACGCCTGGCGTAGGGTGAACCCTCAACAAATGTCTGGGTGAACTGGACTCCAGAATCTCAGGGGCCATGCAGGTGACTCAGAGTTAACAAGAAACTTAATTTCTGTTTTTTCTCTTCTATCAAGTTGCTAGAGAGCTCCGTTAGCAACTTCACACCAGGAAAAACCCAACTTAGCACTGTTTTTGAGAGAAATACAAGGATGTTTTGGTAAAATGCTTTCTTTCACTTTAAAATGTCCGTCTTAGTGAACAAGATCTTCACACACAAATGACCATGAAAAGGCAGAACCAAGAGAGTCTCATTTAGTGAATAGTTTACATCTAGTACCTTGGATACAGTTTGGAGCTATCTCTTTGCTTCAGAGTCAAAATTCAGGATTTAAAAATAGAGTAATCTGAAGGAAAAATAAATTATGCCTCTGAAAAATGACTCAAACCACAGACAGGCGAAGTCCCCCAGGGAGGGCCAGCCTGCGCCCGGACAAGGAGACGAGGGGCTTCCCTGGTTCCCACTGAACCCCTGTCGCGGGGCGGTCCCTGGGGAAGATTTTGTGCGGAGAGGGGCGCGTGCTGACGAAGAGCTGCAGTGACTGTCTCATGGCACCGCACCCGCCTGTCGTGACCATGGGGCGGGGGGTGGAGGACATATTACGTTTGCCCACCACGGGGAACAGACCTCATCCCCAGCACTGCCTGCCTTGAGGCGCTGGAAGTCACCCTTCCCATTCATGCTCACAAACAGCCAGTCTTCAAAAACGCTCTTAGATTCTCTTGTTCACAATTCAGCCATTCTAACTGCTTGCAAGGACTAAAGTGTTCTGTGCTTGGAACGTTCTAGATCTCTGAAGATCCCTTCCATTTTCCCGATTTCATGATTTTTGAATAATTCAAATGATCAAGTGAGAAATACACCATGGTTGGTTGACTTTGTATAAACAGACACAGGACTCCAAGGACTTGATGGAAAACTACTTTGGATACTGTGGAGACACACCCAGGAGTTAAAGGTTCCAGGAACGTCTTTTCTTTGGAGGAACCGAGAGCACGTGGTGGGTTTTACCCAACCAGAGAAGAGTAACTGTAGGCGTGGCAACTGCAGTTCTGCCGCTTTCCCCACTCAGCCCTGCCAGGAGTTACTTGCCAGAGCTGCTGACGTTGAATAGAACAAAATGTAAAGTGCAAATCCAGTCGGGCAAAACCAGACCCATGACAGCTAACCTAGCTAAGCCAGGAGGAAAGGCAAGTGCTGGTCCAGCTCCCTCTCCAGCAACCGAGGGCGAATGAAGCCTTGTTTCCACAACGTGCGTGGAAGACAACACCTGGAAGGCACCCAACACAGCACACGTGTCTCTGAGTCACAAACATGGTGGAGAGTCAACGTAAAACTCAGGAATTCACAGTATCGCCAACACACACGACTGGTTTGCTAATTAAGTGCTTCTCGCCGAATCCAAGCGCCCACTCACACGAGGAGGAAGCCCAGAGCCCAGCAGCGGGCACCTCGACACGTCTGCGGTTTGTGACTCCGACTCTCATCACCAGTTAAGTGTCAAGTGGCTTAATCTCCGAGTGGCTGTGTGGGCTGGGGTATGGCCGTGTTGGCAGGGAGATGACGTCAGTCAAGTGCAGGGCCACAGACAGCCACCGAGGGGTGCCTAGGGGTCCAGCAGGGACAGTCAGCTTCCCAATCGGGTGCGGGCTCCCCTGGACCTAAGTCGGACCCACGCCAGGCTTGTGGGTGCCTGGCCCACCGCCTCTCCAGCCCTGGGTCTTCCTCTCTGGGAGAGAGGCCCCTGCCGGAGTTCGGAGAGGGAGGGCAGAACCCATTTCTGTTATCATTTCCAATGCAGTTCTCTGTTATGTACAACTTAATAATGGCTGCAGGTTCTAGCAATAAATTACAAAACAGATACCTGAATATTTTAAATCGATTTCCCTTTTTAAAGCTCTCTCTCAGAGCAGTCATGCAGAGAAGTTTCAGATGAACTTGAACAGCATGAAGGCAAGCAAGGGTACTGTGGACGGGGCCGGGGATGACACACCGGAAACCGCGTGTGTGTGCGTGTGCGCACACCACCTCTGAGAGTGGTCTTGCGGGCTGGTCTGGCCTGATGTCTGGGCGACAACCCCGAGGTAGGGGACTGAGGCCCGCCCACGGGTCCGGCCCACCCACGGGTCCACCAGTCCACGCAGCAGCCCTGAGTCATCTCCAGGAAGCTTCGCCCCCTGGGCTGGGCGTGTAGTGTGTCTCGTGGTTGGAAAGAAAAGGAATTAATGGTCACAAGGGGAACACTTGCTTTCCAGAAAAAGAGAAAAGAAATAAGGAGCATTTAAAGTACTACCACCAGAAAACTGTGGAGTGGAAGTGGAGGAGACACTGCGGAGGTAGGCCTGAGGGGGGGCAGGTGGCTGGTCCGGGCAAGGTCCCCCGGAGACGCAGTGGGCCCCACGAGGCCCCGCAGGTGAGGGCTGGCTGAGGTGGCGCGTGGACAGAGCCCGGAGGGGCAGGCACACAGCGCATTGCGCCCACTCAGGTTCTGTTCTTACAGGTGCAAAGGAGATTTTAAAGCATGCACTGCAATATCCCGAGTTGAGTCGCTACACGCAAGACCATTTCACCGAATTGAATTTGACTGGATTCCCCCAAAACGGGAGTTCTCCGGCCGACTTGCTACAGTCCTTTTCCTACATTCCCCACGAGAACACGTCACGGGCTGCGGGAGTCCGTACGTGGTACGTCTCAGGTCACAGAGTTTCGTACGAAAGTGAGCCAAGTGCTCCAGTTTTCAAAGGGAAAGAAAACTCAGACGGGGGGAAGCGCAGGACACACCCGCGCAGTGATAAACACGTTCAAGTTCAGAGGTGAGGTCACACAGAAGAACACCCCTAAAAACACTTTTTTTCCCCCTGGCTGGGTAGCTCAGTTGGTTAGAGTGTCGTCCTGATGCACCCAGGTTGCCAGTTTGATCCCTGGTCGGAGCACATACAAGAATCAACCAATGAATGTATAAATTAGTAGAACAACAAGTCAATGTCTCTCTCTCCCTCTAAAAGCAATAAAAAAAGTTTTTTTAAAGTTAAAAACCAACAATTTTAAAAATTTAATTTTAAAAATTAACTTTTTAAAATGAAAAGTTAATTAAAAAAACTTTTTTTTTTAAGGACATGGCGTTTTGTTTGCTTTTGTCATGAGTGAGGGAGAGTTGTGTCAATAAAACCAAAACGTGACCGGCTCGGAGGCTGCGGCTGAGTTAGAGGCGACCCTGGGAGCTGTGAGTTAGGGTACTCTGTTTCTGTGACGACAACGGTCAGGAACAGCTTTCTCACAGCCTCTCTTCATGTGGGAAAGACAGAAAACGGAGGCGGAAACCCCAGGCCTTTCTACTCGGTAAGTGAGTGAGATGTTAGAGACCAATGCTCCAGGTGGTTGAAGGAGTTGGGCGGGGAACCTACGAGGATGGTTTCCCGGCCTCTTGGTAGAGGAGGGTTCCCACGGAGGCAGAAACACTGCGAATGACCTGGAAACACACAGACGCAGGGGAACAGCTGCTGCCCACAGGACCCGTGCCCTGTGGACACCACGGACGCCGTTTTACAATGACACAAAAGCACCCTCAACAGACACGTCCCTCGATTCTCCGATACACAAAGCAACGACGACAGTGAAGGGCTGAAAACTGTAACAATGACACGCCCCACAGAGAGTTTTCTATATACTCAAAACGAAGCAGCACAGCCAGACCGTATAAACCATTTGTTAAAAAAATATCTTCTTTTAAACTGTGTGAATAAGCCGAAGGAGTCCCCTGCAGGTGCACACTCAGTAGCTCACCGCCGGTGTGCGAGCAGCGTTCAAACTCAGCCAACTTCCTCAGTCTCTGTCCTCTTGCGTCGCGGTTCCAGTCCTGACTTGGGTCCCAGCCACCACTTCCTGAGCAAACACCGCCTTTCCGACGCCCGGGGTGTCATCAAGCTACTACCGGGGTCATGTCCCACAACTGCGGAGTGAAGAAGAATATACACAGTGAGCTAAAATTAAATAGTGCTGGGGATAACCAGTCCTTTTAATTAAAGTCAGTTTTTTAATGAACAACGAAATTCTATGCTAACGTGACTCTAAGATCTTTAAAACAGACGCTTCCTTTAAAAGGTGTAACACAACCTCAACAACATGACCACAGTGGCTGGACTTTGTAACAGAACTAACTAGTGGAGAACAAAGGCAGGTTAGTCACTGAGGGTGGAAGGGACTAGGACGCATCAGGCACCGAGTGGGTGCCAGGGATGTGCTGGGTCCTTCCCATGTCTTTTCTCATGTGACCTTCCAAGCAGCCGTACGAGGTGCCTCTGTTTCGGAAAGAAAGGAACAGAGGCTCCTGGAGCTCGCCATAAACTCGCTCAAAGTCGCAGAAGCCTGGGGGCTTCTGCAGGCGTTGATGTCACCACTGCGTCCTGCTGCTGCCTCGAAGAATCGGCCAGAAGGGGCCCGGGAAGCAGAGCTCAGTGCGTTGGGCAGGCCTGTGCGGGCCTCTGTGTTCTTCAGGAAATGACACGGGGTGGCCCTTCCTGCCCTGGACCTCTGCTCCGGCACTGGACCACTGGCCTCAGCGAGGCAGGCCCAGGGGGGATGCTCGTGGGTTAACTGACCCACCGGGAAGAGACCTTGTCTATTGCTTGCTGACTTATTCAAGTCCTGCCATTCACTCAGGGCTCATCTCAAATCCCCCCTCCTTCGGGAAGACACCTCCAACAGCACCGTCTCCCTCGATGGAGCTCTTAGAGAGGCTCTTGTCTGTATCATGCTGCCGGCCACTGCATGTGACCTGTTATTATTACCTGTCATTTTAAGAGAGTGTTCCAATAAGCCCTGGCCAGAGGCGGCTCTATAGGTTAGAGTGGCATCCCTCTGTGCCAAGGTTGTGGGTTCAATCCCTGGCCAAGGCACATACAAGAAGTAACCAATGAATGCATAAATTAGTGGAACAACCAACTGATGTGTTCTCTGTCTCTCATCAATAAATAAGAGTATGTCCCAAGAAACTAGCTGCTCCTTGCAGGCAAGAGCCACGTCTTATTTTGGTGTGCACAGCCAGTGCTGGGCATGCGTCTTGTATGAAACAGGTTCTCAAACACGCTTCCTGCTAAGGGCAACCTTCCAAGCACGTTTTCCATGGCCTTGGTGCTCCTGTACGTCCACTGGTGCAAGGCCAAGGGTGGAGAGCCCCTGAAATAAGACAGCGTCCCTACCTTAATGACCTTGTCGGTCCCTGCAGTCAGCAACCAGCCTCTGGTGGCATCGAAATGCACGTGCACGATGCCGTGTTTACTGTCGTGGAAGGTGGCCGTGGGCGCTCGCCTGGGAGGGCACAGAAAGGGTCCGAGAGTGAAAGGTCGTGACGCAGGAGCAAAGGCCACCCGGGGTGACAGCAAACTCTGATTTTCAGCCCAGTGGCTGGAACCGCGTCACTGTTAGAAGGGCTGCTCGGACCGACCGATTGATTCCCTGGTGACCTTGGTTAAAGTAAAAGACTCTTACATTCTCCGAAATGAGGAAGAGATCATGACATCTTCAGAAGTCCCTTAGAGATTATTTGTTGCTTTAGGAGGAGGGTCTTTGGACATCTCTGTGTTTTTGACAAATTAAAAAAACCCACCGCCACCAGAGTGTTTCGACTAAGTTCGATCTGGGAAGGACTCCTTGGTAAAACAGCCACCGGAACGCCGTGCTCTGCTTTGTGACCTGTGCGGTTTTTTAGTAAGAGGTCCTGCCACGGCCCAGGTGCTCTGAAGGCGACACAGTGCTTCTGCAGAGAAGAGGCGGGAGGACCAGTGAGGTGGGAGGGGGGCCGGAACCCTTGAAGGGGACAGCTTTTCTCTAATGTCGGGTCAGGGGTGCCCCCCCCGGGGGTGCCCTCCCCCCCTCCCCGCAGTGGGCTGTCTGAATGTGGCGGCTTCTTTTTTTATAGATAGCTACCTCTGTGAGCAGATCTTTAGTGTACTAGAACCGGTCACTTTAAAATATTTTGAAGACTGAGTTACACCCTCTGGGTCTGTGTCTTTATGTGTAAAAGGAAGAATTGAGATCGCATGCAGCTCTCTAACTTAATGAGAAGAACTCGTATTAATTTCCCCATGTATGATGAGTGGGAAATAATAGTGAACAAAAATCCTTGGGGGAAGGGCATCTTAATTTATATGTGATATTGTTAAATGATAACAAAAAGCATGTAAGTTAGGGCTATTGTAAAAGAATGCTTTGTTTTATTAATTTGCAAGAATTCCCTTTAAATGCTGATTTGCTCTGGTGCATTTCTTTTACTTGAAAAGTTTTTAAAAATTCTGGTGCATTTTAAATGTTTCTATTTACACACAGTTTTTAAGACACCCATCCAGTACTTCAATGATCTTACTACACTCGAGGTGCCGGAGGAATGTGGGGGTGGACCTGGGCAGCCGCTTCTCTGGGAAATGCTGCTGTAACCCACTGAAAAAGGAAGCTCGCTCAGAGCACCCTGTTCACACGCGGGGCAGTCTCCAACGAGCTGGCAGTGAAGAGACAGCTTAGATCCGTCCCTCCTGCTGAGCACGCTGAGATGCAGTAACCCACAGTCTGGGGCTTCTGGGCAAGACTGACCAGCAAGGCCGAGTAGATGGGCAACTGGTCATGTTTGCTCTTAGATGCAGCGGCTTAGCTCTTCTGGGAGAACGAGAACCCTGGAGCCTGGGGACTGATCCAGCTGCTGTACAAGACACCAGCTGGGGCTTCTTGAGAAAGTGAGGATACAGAAGGCTCTGCCTGGAAAACATCCCTTTGCAATGCACACGCCCCTGGGGCTGGGAGGTGCTTGCTGTTTGCAGGTGCTCTCTCCTGTCTCCGAAGAGAACACCCTCTCTCGGCGGAAAGGAGGGCCCTGCCCACTTGCCAGGATCTATATTCTAAACCAGCAGGAACAGGGCACTCGCGGTTTTGACTGCGGTGCCGGGCGTGGCTCGCGGGCCACACTGGCCCCTGCAGCTCGACAACTCTGCAGGCTGCTGGCACTTACTCTTCATCGGTGATGGCCTCGTGGCAGCTGTCACAGACCCTCACTTCAAACTCGAAGCCCATCAGGGGGATGGAGGAGCGTTTGGAGCTGCACTTGCCGCAGACGGCCTTCCCGCACTTGCGGCAGTGGTGCTGGGGGGACAGAGAACACGTGTGTGTGAGACGGTGGCTGAGCCCCGAGTTCCCAGGTAGGCTCGGGCGTGATCACCAGCTTCCGGGTGAGCGTGCTAAACTGGAGAGCCGCAGACGGCGAAGGGAGCGCACCAGGCATGCTCTCCTGCTCTCTGTTTATTCGGAATGAGCACTGCGGGGAAACATGCCGGGCCGCCACCTCCCCGCCACCCACTCCCCCGTTCCCGGTCCTCTCTGGTCATCATCACAGGAACTCTAGAGGACCCCTCCAGCAGTCAGGTCACCGAAAAGCTGGGGGCGACGAGGAAGTGCCACCTCCAGATGTCAGGCTGCCTGAGGCAGGAGAACTCGAATGGACCCTGCGTCACCCTGTGGCCGACACTCCGGCTACGCTCTGCCTGGGCGAGCAACAAGGTGAGCATGTGGCTTTCTCAGGGAGGAGCAGAGCCAACGGTGGCACCAGGCCGGAGATGCTGTGTTGTAAGGAGGTCTAAGTAACCAGGACTGAGGCAGCAGGAGGGCAAGGAAAACTACAAAGAAGAGACAGGCCCACTCCCACGACCGCGTGTTTTGGCACCGAGACAAGCCAAGCTAACTTGGCCCATCGTGGCTAACTTGACTAACAACCCCTCCAACTTGAAGGTGCATCTCAATAGATGCCACTGGAATTCTAAAGTCAACCCCCAACTAGTGACTGGGGACCAGTCACCACAGAAACTGGATCTGGCAGGAATGAGCTTTAGCAGGAGGAGGGGGTAGATCAGTGTGCAGTCCCAAAGCGACTCCATGGTAACCGTGTACCCTTCCTCCCTCCGAGACCACGCGGTAGAGTTATTTGCACACTAGCACCAGGCGATGAAGCGCCCCGTCGCCCACCTGTCTCAGGCCGATTTTCCTGCTGTCCCACATTTGCTTGAAGTTCCAGAAGAAAGGCTGGTCGCACTTTTGGCAGGAATCGCTGTCCAACCATTCCGGGGTCTTGTCAAAGAGAGCACACAGCAGGTCACAGTGAGACGCGGTGACAACGGCCCCAGTGACACACAACTGACAGAGTCAGGAGATGTTTATAAGAAACAGAAGCACGATTTCTCGGTCATTTACAATGTACTCACTGATGCCTATTGTGTGCCAGGCCCTGGGGAGGTAGTGACATGAATCTGGTGTGGAGTCATCATGGAAAGTTAAACACGAACATGTCATTAATAATAATCATTTGAATATGTGTAAGTGCAAAGGCCCGAAGAGCACCGCAGAGTGCCGAGGGCACCAAGACCCAGGCCAGGGTGCAGGGCAGTTCGGGGAGAGCCGGGGCGTTACCGGCAGTCTTCACAGCCACACCGAGGACTTGGGACTGCATCTCCCATTCTCTGATCATATGCAATTATCCTTGCTCTGACTGTGTCTGATTGCATCTAACTGCACATCATACACACACACACAGCCACCCATGCTGGAGGGACAGGGGCTGGCCGCAGTGGGTGCTCAGGGACGCCACCTGTCCACTGGCCATTCGAGGCAGGGCTAGCAGTGTCTGAATCTTCTGACTTTGTTCACTGTTTCCCAGCCCCATCGCGAGTATTTCAAATTACATCCATCAAACAGGTTTAGAAGCTGCTTTAGGCTTAAAGCTATTCTGTAGCAAATGGCTCGAGACGACTAGTCGCTCTGCATTTGCTTCTAGAGTTCTATGTTCGTCTCTGTCAGCTGGCCGAGGCGCTGACCTCTTTCCACAGGTCGCCAAACCCAGGAACCCTGAAAAATAACCCCAACCCCAGGGCTTCTTCCCGAAAGTGAGCTCCAGGGAACCCCAATCTGACTCTGACTGTTGAAGGGGCCTGAGAGCAAACAAGCGGGTGAACCGCGGTGAACACAGGCCCGTGTCGCGTCCTCTCTGAGACCACGACGAACAGCAGCAGGCTCTACTGGCCCCCGAAGGCCTTGTCCTGTGGCTGCGAGCCTTTTCTGAGGAACACCTGTTTGGGAACAGGTTCAGGGACGTAGCCTCTTTCTCCTACCTTCAGAAATAGCCCTGAAGCCAAACATGATTTCAGGAAGAGAAGTAAAAAGGTGACAGCGTTAGAGCTCCAATTCTTGGTCTGTTTATGTTAAGACTGATGGAAAGAAGTAAGCTTTCATTTGCTTCATGTTCTAGTTGCTTTACAAACAAATTTAATACAACCATACAAAAGTTTTTAGCTAAAGAGCAGTTTACCCCTAAAAGGCACACCTGTGTTGTGAGTTTTCACGTCTGCTCTGCCCGTTTGGGCTCTGAATCCACTGGATTTAAAACCCGTCAGCCAGTGCCCGTGCTCACGGAGCACAGTCTCGTCAAGACGGTCCAAAGGACCGCCCACCAACCACCGGGTTTCCTTTCCCCCTTTGGGCCTCTGTCCATCCAGGACGGAGGCGGGGTGTTGCTCCTGACGAGTCGCCCCTCGCCCCAGGGTGTACCTCCATGGAGCACTGGGGTTATTCTGAGCCAAAGGCAACCGGGACCCTGCAGGCTCCCAGTAAAATGTCACCTCTCAAAGAATTTCAGCGAGGGACCTTGCACATAAGAGTTGTCACCGAAAACTCACTTTGTGACCCATCTGCAGGAGAGGGCAAACTCCTGATTACTCAACACCTGCTCTTCTCACTGCCCCCCAGTGGCCTTCCGTCCCTCTGAAGCCCCACGGTGACCCTTAGAGTGTCATTTCTTCGTTTTCCGTCTTTGACCCTGTCACGCAAGTGGAGTTCCCACACGCACGTGTGCGTTACACAGGGTAGTTTTCTCTTGTGCGCCTGTTTCATGCCTATGTGAAATTAGACCAGCGGAAAGAACCCTGTCCCGCACGGTGCACCGAGGGGAAGGGCCCACTGCTGCCCTCCTGCCCCCGTCAGGATGGGCAGGCCAGGGAAGAAGCCAGGACAGGCGGGGTGGGACTGTCCCTCACCCACAGCAGGCGTTCACGCAGAATCACAGGGCCCATGGACAGCCGGCTAGCACACAGCATATGGATTTCCCTGCCTTCGTGCTGATGAGTACTTTCAAAAGTAATATTCTCCAATTCCTTACTTCCTAACAGTAACGATCATTTTAATTAGTTACTAATAGAACTCTCGTGAATTTATGCTTTGAGCAAATCAAGTTTTAATCTTCTTAAGCATTTCATTCCTGGCATTTGAAAGACATTACATTGTGGATGGTACTCCCTTGAAATGAGATCGGGTGAGGAGAGGGAAAGAAACTGGGCCATCGCTTTGGTCTTTTTAAAGTGTCGCTTTTCTGAAATTAGAAAAATATACCCAGTGTAATTCCAGGGAAGTGAGAATGCAGTTCCCTTCAATGCACTTGTCAAAGGGCCATTCGGTAAGCACATCAGTTGTTAAACAGCTCCAAGGCGAAAAGGAAACTCACAGAAAAAGAATGTCATAGTAACACTAAGTAATATGTGCTCAAAAATGACACCGAATGTATATTTATATCTGGAGACCCATGTAGGGCGTGACTCATAAAGAAACATTAACTAATTATTTCTAGTATTTCTATTAATACCAAGCTGAGGACCTCTGGCTTCATGAGGTACCACAGCTCACGCAAAGAGCCACTGTTTCTGTCAATAATGCGAGCCTTCTCTTTTTGGAGGGAACTTACAGCAGAGGGCTGATCACCTGAAAATAGACGGTTCCTTTTTCTCACCTGAGGTTTTGTTGTGAATGTTGCAGCAGGTTTAGAGTCTCAACGGCTTAATGTCAGTCTGGATTCTTACGAAATCTCCATTACATAAACGTTAATTGCCAATGTGTGAGGGGCAAAAAAAAATCAGAAACTCCTTTTCTCCCAGAATTTGTTATTCTCCGGCATGTCTCGGCTCACAGGTTAATTACGGGAGACAGAAGGAACGAGCTGGAGGGGAGGCCGGGCCGGTTTTGGGCGTGGCCAGAACGGCTGAGCCCCGCCCAGCGGCCCTGCACCTACCTCCTGCCTCTCCACGTCCATGTTCCAGACGACGATGCCACCGTCGCTGCCGCAGGAGATGAGCTGCCGCGTGTGCTGGGCGTAGGAGAGGGCCTGGATCTTGTCGCTGGGAGAGAGAACAGGCGTTAGCCTCAGCTCAGGAGAGCAAGCGAAGGCCTCGAGGGAAGAGGTCCAGCAGCCAGTGAATCGCCGCGCTCACCACTGCGCCCCAGGAGCGAATCCTAGAACGTCGCTGGAACCCTCAACGTGCCAACTGCGTGCAGGGCACTTGAGGTTTCAAAGTCAAAATGCTTATTTCAGATGCTGAGGCCCCAGGTGGAGGCAATCTCTGTGCACCGCCAACATTTAAGGAGACAAGCTGATGGCCAAATTGGCTATAACCTCTTACTGGTTCCTTCCCTGACTAAATCAACAGTTCTGTCACGTGTGTTCGTGTTATACTTGTTCCAGAGTCGTGGTTTTCTCTATTTTTCCCTGACCGGGGATCCAACATACAACCTTTTTTGTGTGGGAGGATGCTCCAACCAGCGGAGCTATCCAGCCAGGTCAGGACATTCTCTTGTATGAAAGGCATCTTTCAAGAGTTTTGGAGAAGCCTGCTGGGTTAACCTGACCGAGAACCATTGTTGCCCATGGTGCGACCCCGGAATGGGGGGCTGACCCCAGGCCTGCCGGTTTTTGGCCCTCGGAGTGACTCCAAAGCAGCAGTGGACTTGAGCCTCGCCGGCTCTCTGTTTCCCTCTACTGATCTGTGTTTATTTTTCTTTCTAGTCCGTGCATGGCTGACCAGTTATTCCCTCCTGGCAGCTGCCACGATGGGGAATTCAGTTTTATCGTCTGACAAGTGGGTGATCACTAACAAAAGAGTCCATGGAGACATATTTTCCGTTCAGTGGGAGAGAAAAGGGAGTCCAATCACTTGGTCATTTTTGTGTATTTTTCTCTTTTGAGCTCACACCAGTGAAGAAACCTGTGCCCCCCGGGGAGGAGAGCAGCTCTTTGAACTTGGACTGGGGGAGTGTCGCGCTTGCGTCTGACGCTCGGCGGAAGCTGCAGAACTGAAGCTGTCCAGCTCCATGAGTCTGTTGAGATTCTGAACGGCCTGTGCCTCTGTGGCACGGGGACGCTTTCCTCTCTCCTGAGGGCATCGCTGGACCAGAGTACAGCTCACTGGAAATGATAAACTTGTTCTGTTTGGCTTATAAAGATGAACAAGTGCTTTTATAAATGGAATAGTCCTAACCTTCACTGAAAATAGGGAACTTGAAATTTACCAGACTTAAAAATAAAAATTATTTTATAAAAAATGCTTACTTAGTAACATTTTAAAACTCCACATCCACAAAACTAAGGCAATTCTCCGGCAGAGGAGACTGGTACGGATGTGTTGTGAACGACAGCTGTGTCTTTCTCTGGTTGGTCAGTTAATTTCTCCTGAATTTTTGTAAGATGACAAGCCAAACAAGTGAATGCTATGCCTGTATGTTTGAGGTCCTAGAAATATAAATTTGAGTTCAATTAAATTGCATAATGTTTCTGACAAAATTTTATATAAATAGTAATTATGTTTTATAGCCTATCAACTCAGAGGTAATTCCCAAGATCTTCAAGTAACTTAACACTGACTAATAAACTGAGGAAACCGATAGATAACCATTGGGCGCCTGCCTAGATAATTTCCATGTAACTTAGAATACTCAAACCTTGACTACCAAGCATACTAAGTTCGTGTACATTTGCTTCTCATTTTTATATTCTACAGAGAGGCACAAGTGAGTTGTGCCCGTGACCGGGGATGAAGAAGTGGTGGACGTCCCCGGCAGAAACTCGCGTGTGTTCGTGCGCTCTGCCAGTGAGCCCGGATGCCCGTCCACGACGACGGACAGTGCTCAGTTCTCCGCACCCTCCCTCCTCCCGGTTTTCCCTGTGAAAAACAGGTTAGTTCTTGGCTTAATTACTGTAATTAAAGTGGGTGGCTGAGACTACGCCAGGTCCAAAAGAAAAAAAAAAAATACAGAGGGAGCAGCGTTTCCATGGAAACGCTACCATCAGAGAGGAACCGTGACCACCTCCAAAAGTGCGCAATGGAACACCACTCGGCCTTAAGAAAGGACGAAATACCGCCATTTCGTCCGTGTGGATGGCCCTTAAGACTATTATGCTGAGTGAAACAGTCAGAAAAGGCTAAGAACCACGTGATTTCCCTCATCTGTGTGGGCACAGACCGCGGTGCGGAGGCTCCCAGAGGAGGGGGTGGGGGGGGGGGCCCAGCGTGTGGCGACAGAGGATGGATTCACTTTGGGTGGTGGGCACACAGCGCGACGCACAGATCTCACATCACAGAAATGCACACGTGAAGCCTGTGCGATCCTCTAACCAGTGTCACCCCAACAAATGTAACGAAAATGATGAAAAAAGCAAAAGCTTACTTTTTGAGGAATTCTAATTTTTAGTAACAAGAATCGCTTTAACTGCCACTCATTAGCCCTTACTCTTGTGACTAGTTGACATGCATTATGTCGTTCGTGGGTTGTGACAGCCTCTGAGGGTTTTCTTTCCGGCGTCACCCTTCCTGCCGAGGGCGAGAGTCGGGGGTCGGGGAGCGGAGCCGCTGCACCGGCGCTGACGCCTCCGCGGCCGCTGGCAGGGCCTCCTGGGCCGGTGACCACTCTCCGCCCCCTCTTTTTGGTAAGATTCCGCCCTCTATGAGAACTCGAGTTCCTAGTGCTTTTATTCATCATGTCTTTAGCTAAGTAGTTAAAGCTAGGAAGGACCTTTCTTCCCCTCCATCCCACTAGCTCTCCAGTGCTGCAGCGAGGAGCCTTCCCGCACCTCGGCTTCGCCCAGAGAACTTCTGCCCCCACAGGCCCTCGCCCGTCCCCCCCAAACCCGGAGGAAGCTGTGCGTGAGAACTCCACTAGGTGGTGGTCGTGGGCAAAGGGGGGAATGGGCAGCTTCAATAAAATGAAAGTGAAAAAAAGGAATTTTACTTCCTTTTAGAACATCACATACAATTCACCTGACACAGGAGCCTACTTGTTTCCCAAAAGGCTTTGAGGAGGCTCAGGACAAAAGTCATACACACGGTGGGAACAGGAAGAGAGGGACCCAGATCCAGGACGTGAGAACAGCCAGCAAACACACAGGCTAAGTGTGCCAAGGGTCATGGCCGTGACCGGGCCTCAGCCAACCTGCCGTTCCCAAGGAGGGACCATTCCGTTAAATTGCCAAAGAGTCTTAGCAGCCAAGGAAAACACGTATAAGAAAAATTATAGTCCTCAAGTCAGTCATGCAATGTTTAGATATTATCTGAGACTAAAAAAGGATCTAAAAGCCCACGTGTGATTACTGGGTTTGACAAGGTGGGCAGGGGGCAAGCAGTGTCCTGGTTTACACTTCGATACCATCCATCCAACTGGTAACCGATACTGGAAAAACTTAAGTGGTCTTCGAAACCGGAACCTTTTCTCCACCTCTCCCTTCACAGAGCTAGCGATAAGCATGTTCCATTTGCTGCAGGAACAAAACTACCAAACTGCTTCCAATGCAGATGAAACTGGACTAAAGCCAAACTTCCTTAGCTTTTTCTCCCCTTGGACTTGGACACCGTTTTGCTATCATCAGTCACTCTGGTGGTAAATCTCTCTCTGCTTTGACAGGATTCTTATCCACAAAATCAAACCAGTCACCAGGATGCTGTGCCGCTGTCACTGAAGGAGAGCGTGAAGCGGCAGAGCTGGGACAGAAGCCACGGGGAGCTGTCCCTGGGGGGCAGGGAGCTCTGGTCCTGCCTGCTCCCCCCCCCCCGCCCCACCCCAGCTCGCTGATCTGGCCCCGGATTCGGAGCCCTGACCACCATTAGTCTCGCCAGGGAAGGTGGGAAAACAAGTCACCGCAGGGCAGCAGCAGGGCTGCCTGGGGCCCAGGCGGAAGCTCTTTGGCCGCTACAGCAGAAACGTGACAGAAAGCATCTCTGGACAAGGTGGGGACCATGTGTTACTCATCCTCATTTGTCTGCCTCTGGTGCCTGAGGTCGAGGTGGGGAAGCCCCTGGAGCTGCTGGGAGCAGGAGGGCGGAGTTCACAAAGAGGGCCTGGGAAGGAGGCGCAAGGGTGTCCGACCCACTCCAACAGGGTGACACCAACCAACGCTGAAGACGTTTACTTCTCCTGGCTCCATGATGCCAGGGCCACCCTCTCGGGCGAAGACCTGAGAGCCCGAGTTCACTTTGTCCTAGGCCTGGGTCCCATCGAGCACCAGGCAAAAGCCTTCTGCCATTACTCCCATGGAAAGCCAGTGCTCACTGGGGCTCTGGCCCCACTAAGGCCTAAGGGTGTGACCTTCTTGGAGTCAACTCCAAATCCGGTCTGTTCCAGTTTCTCAATAACCGAGGCTGCATTTCTTAGCCCCCGGAGACCTACTGGTTTAGGTGGCATTTCTCTGGGACCGAGAGACTGTACCTGGACTTTACAGGGTTTCCTCGTCCCAAACAACATTCTCCACGAGAGACTTGGCACCCGGTGTTGCTGGCGTGGAGCACCGTGCTGCCTCCCCCCTGGGGTCGGGCACACTACCCTGCAGCCTTTGTCTACCACTGTGTAAAACAAAACTACTTGTCACACTAATCTGAACAAGTCCAACATTCAAAACCTGCGTTCCGCTTCTCTGAGCGAGCCCCAGGTGACAGGAATTACCCAGCAGGCTGGACAATGACCAAGTGCATTAAACAGGACTGTGTTCTGCTTCTCTTTCTGCACTTGACATGGGTGGTGTCAACTTCTACACGATCCTGATGCATGTCGCCTTCCCATGGAGAGAAATATCAGGAAGTGACACCTCTGAGGAGCCGATGACAAGGTTCAAGTGGCCCCACAAGCCAGCCGTGGCCCCAGACACCCAGTCTGTTCTGTCATGTGGGAAAGGAGGGCTTAATAGCCACATCTCTAAAACCAAACTCTAACACTAAAATAATAACCTGTGCACGGGCCCTCCGAAATGAAGTTAGTTCAATAATCCTAAATCGTAGCTTTAACTACCTGGGAGACTCTTAAAACGAGCGTTTCCAGGCAGAGTTACAATTAGAACTAATGGTGCTTAACCCGGCCAATTCGTGGGAGCACTGCTGACGGCTGCTGACGGAGACCTGGGGCCCCTCTCACCACTGTTTAAAAACCTCACAGGCAGAAACCGTTCACAGCTCTACAGCAGATCTAGAATTCTTTTCTGCGGTTGACCTGACTTTGCCCCCAGGGACTGTGGGCAGCATGGAGAAGGACAAATCCCAGAGTGGTCTGAGTTCTCCAGCAGAGAGCGGCCTGGGAGGCTGGCTACCCGACATCGGCCCCAGTTCCGGACCGTGACCCGAGTCTCCAAAGACGGGGCCCAGGAATCCATCCTAATTCCGAAGGCACTCTCTGGGCACGGCCAAGTCGGACAGCTGCTCCAATCAAACGACCAGCCTCCTCTGCGTTTGCTCTCGGCCCCCTGAACTCTGTTCTGAGGAAGAAGAGCCTGATGGGAATCGACGCGCGTACTCACTGAGCACGTGCGGAAGGACCAACTGCGCTGAGCAGGGAAGAACGTTCTCTCTCCCCTTCTCCTTCAGCTGCCTGAATCCTGAAGCCACATCTGACCTCAACTACAGAAATTCGGTAACCCTTCAGGGCTCGCACTGCTAAGCTCTTTCTCTTTCACTCTCAAATTTGTGCTCTTATATTAATCTCCCTGGTTCCCATTTTTACCTTGTATTTATTTGCTGTCCCTGTTTGTTCTCACAGTTTCTGCAGGGACTCTCAAGCCCTCTGTGGAATAGAATGGGGTGTAAATACACAAACCTACATACAGCTATAAATCACAGTGGCCATTCTTTGCTTTCCTGCCTTGTCCCTTCCCATGCTAAGCCCGTGCCATGGAGACTGGCCCACACGCCTTTGTCCCAGCTTTCAGCTGGGAGCCTTTTCTCAAGAGTCCTTTATAAAGCACCAGTGGCCTTACTTGTGTCCTTGGAGCTCGATGGCAGTTCCTTTTCTCCCGCCGATGTCCCACATGATCACGGAGTGATCGGAGCTGCCTGAGAACAGCACCCGCTGGACGGGGTCCCAGCAGAGAGCCGTCACCCCACCTGGGAGACCAGACAAGCTGCACGTTAGTCACAGAGCGACAGTGTCATTCACCAGTGAACTTTGCATGCAAACGAGCCCCGGTCTAGCGCGGTTTCTGGCACACAGTAAACGTTTCTGTTGGAAGAACAAACAGTAAGTCTCCGAAGAGGAAAAATGGGCTCTGAGAATGGGCCACCCTCTGAAGCACTTTTTCCCAAATGTAAATGTACCACAAGATCAATGACTATGAAGACCAAAGAGAAATGAAAAAGGCAACTGACTGACCTTTAAACAATAGACATAATTCTCCGCAGAATGGAAAACATGGCACTGCGTGGAAATACTAGCCATATCTTTTTAACTGCTGTCTAGCTCCTACCCAGATGATAATAGGTGAGGAGTTTACAGGGTTTTCAAAAGCTCAGTTGGATTGTGTAACCTTGAACATTAGCTACCATTAGACTAAAACATCAGAATTTGAAATTTATTTCCTCACTTTGGAAATTTAACTTTATAGATTCAGGGCAAATCGTTTCCATCCCGACGGGTCAGCTTCCGCAAGTGGAACAGGGGTTGAGGCTGGAATGACGACCACCGCTGCTGACGGCACCGCCGCACCCACATCCACGGCGCCGGCCGCGGCCGCGTGGCAGTTGGACTGGGCCTCCCACTGCGCGGCGCTGTGGGCGGCGCAGCCTTACGCCGCGGGTGTGGCTACAAAATATGCGGATGGTCTTCTCTGGCAGCACCTGACGCCTACAAACGCTTAAGAATGTGAAAAGTACTTTTTCTTTAAAAACATTTACTGAAAAATACTAAAGTCTTAAGTTCTTTTTTTAATAAAGAAAAAACGGTATACTCTGAAAAGAACATAAATTTTTTTCTTCTTTATTGGAATCTGATGTTTTTCTTCTTTAGAGTATAAATGTGTTCTAACACAGTGCTTCACTTTAAAAGCTTTTAGGAAAGTTTCTCTTATATAATTGTGCGAGAGGGTTTTTTTTCCCAAGATCAAAAGGAAAAAAAAAACCCTCCACTGTGCTGAATTATGCTTAATAGTGTCTTCCTATACCTGCGCAACATTCTGCCTGTATCCAATATGTGTTTCTGTCCATGCAATTGTCTCCTTCCCTCCCCACTTCCTGCCCCTCCACCCCACTCACACGCACACACACACTCACACACACGCACATGCACACGCATACCCCACAGCACCCAGCACAGAGCCAGCAGACAGGCCCCCGTATTGTTTGCTAAATGAATGAACAGGCAGATGAATGAAAACACAAAAATCTTTTTTTTTTAATCCATAAATCTTATTTAGAATTCCTCTGTGACGCTTACTTAGCTAGCCTTTCAATGCTAAATATTTCCTCTTCCTGCAGAACTCCTCTCCTGCTTTCCCTGCTATTAAACTCCATGGTCATATTTAAAAAAACAAAACAAAACGAAAAACCACCCCTCAGCATTTGGCCGTGTACTAGCTGAGGATGTGAATTCCGTTCTGGTTCTGCGAAGCACGTGTTGATTCCACACAGTACCCGAATGGCTTCTCTTGTCAGACCCCGGAGGCAGAGGCACCTAACTGTCCACCAGAATGCGCAGCCCCTTCCACGGAGCACTGCCCGGATGCTGCTGTCCTGCCAGGACCACGCGCCCCGGCCCTCTTGGTCGAGGGGGCACATGGCCAGTGCTCAGCAACAGAACCCAGGAGGGAGCTCAGACAGTGCGTAGAAGCACCAACAATTTGCATCTCTTCTGGGCCCAGGCAGTCAAGGTGTCCCTTTTCCACCTCCTCCTCGTGGACACCGAGACCGCGGGGCCTGGGCAGGCTGTGCTGCAAAGGGAGCCTGGGTCCCACGGGAGGGGCTGTAGATGAACAGCCCCCACACGGGATTGATACGTGAGCGAAAAACCAACCGCTACTGTGACACGGCCCAGAAATGTGGACGAGTACTTGTTAGGGCCGCTAGCTTCAGCTGTTACAGTACTTTCTGGGCTATTAGACTAAGGCTGGCCCAAGAGGAAGGTGGGAGTCACCAAGAGCTTCATAAATGTCATATGAGTGAAAAGTTACTACTTTAGACTATTTTTTTTTTTTTTAATTTGGTTACTTTTCAAGTACATTTTTTTTTTCCTCTCCCCCCCCCACTTTAGACTATTAATATCGATGCCTAGAATGTTCACAGAATTTAGCCTCCAAAGCAATCCATCGTAATGAACTCTGAACTGGATTTTCCTCAGGAACGCATCTCAACTCTAAGCACTCCTCACCACCTCTGCTGCTTTTTTGCATGAGCCACCAGCATGTAAAACCACTTTCTCATCCACTGCCCAGGAGGGTGCAGGCCAGCCCCATTGGCCAGGTCACAGCTAACAAAACTGCGTATTTACTCAGCTTGTCATCCTGCGATCTCACGTCTAGGAATGTTTCATGAAGGCTCTACTGCCCCCATTGCTGCCGAGTACGACAGAAAAACACACAGGCACAAGGCTATTCATTCCAGCGCTGTCTGAAATAGCCAGACACTGGGAACAGCCTCAGCGCTCCCGCAAGAGAGCAGGCGAGTAAACCACGATGCACACACAGGGTACTCTGCAGGTATGAAGAAGAACGAGGGTCTCTCAGATGGATAGGAAGTGATTGCCAGCATGGACTGTGAAGTGAGAAAGATAAAGCGCCAATGAATTACCTACACTATGCTACCTTTCATCCGAGAAACCAAGGGTGAATGAGAAATTGAAGACTCACTAGCAGTAGGTGGGTGGAAAGGCCGGGGACAGGGAGGAAGGGCAGTGACTCTGCACAGTGTCTGTTTGGTTCCGAGTTTGCTGCACATTCTCATGAACAAATAAACAATGAAAACCGATGAGTGTGTGTGTGTGTGTGTGTGTGTGGTGGACCCACAATGCAGTGCAAACAGAACAAGTGAACCTGGCCGTTATTACAAGTGAATGGTACAACCATATTCTAAAGCAGGGCCAGGGGGAGAAGTGAGAAAACTAACTTGGGGAAATGTTAATAAGCTAAACGCAAAAAGATTTGAACACAGAAACAGCACTCCAGTTAGTAGGCTTGTGTTTCCCGGAGGCAGGACAGTAACCGCTGGGAAAACTCCCGGGCAGGTGGGACGGGGAAACCGAGACCAGAGGATTAAACACGGCAAACAGTGTGAATGAATGGACAGCCGCTGGGCATCGCGGGACCTTATCTCCCCGACCAAGGACACCTGACCGCAGATGGTTCAGGTTGCTCCTCCCTGACCGGAGAACACGCAGCTCAAGTCTCCCTGGTCTGGGAAAAGAGAGGGCAGAGGTAATGCTGTCTGTGCCAGCCGACCCCAAGGACAGAAGGAGTCAGGGAAACAAGTGACCTCTCGGGGTCCAGAACGAGCCAACTACCTCAGAAGAGCTTCATAATGCTTCCGTCACCACGGAATCTCTTAGACGTCCTTGCGCCAGCGGTGAGTGAGCTGTGCTGCGCCCGGTTGGCAATGGGTAGGTACTACTGCCCAGGACTGACCTCGAGTTAAACACAGAACCCGCTACACTGGCCTTCATGTCAGTTGGTGCCCTTCCCGGGCCATTCCTGTCTTCTTCAAAGATATGTCATGAAATCCTAACACAATGCTTTAAACATTACGAGCAAGAGAAAATACAGTGTCAAGGTAACATTTTATATTAGAACTACCTCACAAGGCGGGAAACCCGTGGGCCACCCCAGCTCACCTCGCACCGCAGGAGGCGGCAGCTACTCCCCCCACCCGCCCTGCAGGCAGTGGCACGACCTGCACGCACACACTCTGATGGGCCCCCGAAGGGTGAGCGCCAAAGGTCAGGCTCTGCTCCTGCGCCGCTGAACCTGGATCTGGGCCTGCGGGGCTCACCGACTCAACTCTGACCCTGCATCCACCCACTCCTTGCTCTCCCGTGACCACGGCCACACGTGTCCAAGGACACTAGCTCCCCACTGCCAGAACAATCTTTTTACTCGGATCGAGTTGCACCTGTGCTTAAAGACAACCCCTGATGGCTTCTCACTGACTTCAGGAGAAGACCCTCATGGCCTTTCTGGCTGCCCCCACCTCCAACTCTGAGGTCCCACGGGAAAGTGCTCCTAGGTGTTCCCGAGAGCGCCACCCTCTCGGGCATCCCCAAGCCTTGGGCCGCACTGGTTTCCTCTGCCTGCACTGCTCTTCTTGCCTTTTCCTAAATTCCACCCACACTCCTCCCCCAAAGACCTTCACTCCAGCCGCAGCAGCTCCGGGGGAGGTGGTCCTGCATCAGCCCAGCAGCTGCCCTCCAAGCGAGACGCCCCTGCAGCCCCTCGCTGGCACAGCTGTTTAGCTTCTGCCTCTGGAACTGGGCCGTGAGGAATTTGAGGACAATGGCTGTGCCTTCTCTTTCTGTGACTGAGGGCAGTGGCTCAGGTCGACCAGAGACAGCACACAGGGTAGAGACATGAAAGGGTGGGACCCCCAGGGACCACAGAGGAGAGGAGAAAGGGCAGCTGGATGTGCGGAGGGAACGGCAAGAGAGCCCAGGGACCAAGGAGCGCGGGGGCCGGCAGGACGTCACGGCCGTTGCCGCTATGGGAGACTCGTGGAGAGGTCCAGGTAGAACATGGTCTGCATGCGGGATTCGGCAACCTGCAGGCTGCCTTGGGGGGAGCACGTTAAGCGGAGTGATGAGACAGAGGAATCACGTGGAGGGAGCCTGAGGCAGGCCCTGTCTGGGGCTTAGAATGATGAACTTGCCCTGGTAAGGACGGGCTCACCCGCGGTGTCACCTGCAGCTCGGTGCTGCCCCAGGGGCCGAGGGCGCGAGGAGAGGGCATGGGCAGTGAGCGGATCCTGGACAACACTTACTGAGAAGGAAGAACAAGGGGGCCCCGAACCCCTGGGAAGGAAGGAAGGAAAGGTGGCAGGAGACACAGGGGAGCGAGGGATCAAGGACCCCACTTCTCAACAAGGAGAAGAGCAAGTGGAGTTGGAATAAGGGTTTAGGGAGTGAAAGCTCAGGAGGCTGAAGTTGCAGTGAAACACTGTGAGACTCCTGAGGGCAGGGGAGTAAGAGTTCTGGGTCCGACCAGGCCAGGGGGCCAGGGTGTTCGTGGGGAAAAGAGAGAAATCCAATCAGGAGGAACCGAGTCCTGGCCTCGGAAGAATGTTTCTGCGTATTCTTCCTCCCAAAAGCAGAGGTGGTGCGGATGATCTTTTCAACATCTTTCCGCCTGGATTTAACTTTCTCGCTTTCCTTTCGGGAATCCTTTGTGACCTAAGTACTCTCCCATTTATATCCCCGTTCACCTCCTCCTGCTCTTATATGACGTCTAAACTCAATACTAACCTTGTTCTGTACTCAGCCAGGGTGTCATCAGCAGACACCCACTCAGAAACCAACAAAGACGATGGCGACTTAGTTTGCAAGGTTAACATCACACATTAAAAATACTAGTAAGAAATCAATCCTCATCACCTGTTCAAGACCTCCAAAGCCTAAACATGGACATTTTCTCACTGCACCCTGTTTAAACCACTCTGAGCGGACCAGTAACACACAGGGGCCTTGGGTTTTGAGCTGGAAAGAGCCCCCAAAGGAAGGGTGGTTAACGAGGAACTTTTACCCTGTGATGCGACCTGGCTACCTGTGATGAGCACCTTTTTCATTTCATTTGTCTTGGGACTGGGGGTCTGTCTTGCCCACATCTCCTCGACCCAAGCGGAGGAGACTGAGGCAGCCGTCCCTTTGGCTGGCGGGGGTACGCACAGTGGCCAGGTGGTCTCACACAAGGTCTCACTGACATGTGCCAACACTGGTTTTCTCCAGGGGCCGCATGAGAACCAAATCATTTCCTAAATGGACGGATTCCTTTTTCTGTTTGGACTGATGTTGAAAACTTTTGACATCAGCTCTTACTGGGCCGTCCGGAAATCAGTCAGGTACTTCAGGAGCACCTCTACGCCAGCCCAGGGTGCACCCCACTGCCTTTCACCGCCTGTTACCCGAACACCAGACCACGCAGCTGGGGGCACTGGTGAGAGGCAAGCAGCACGTGGAGATTGTGCTCTCGGTCCCACCTGTGTGTCCTCTGAATGCTGTGACCAGCGTGCAGGTCTCGGGCTCCAGTTTGAGGATGGTGACTTGGCCCGAATGGTCACCGATAAACACGTGCCGGGTCTCGACGTCAAATCTGTCACGCAGGCGTTAAGGACTGTTACTCAGAGTAATGGAGGGGACACCTCGGACATCACGCTGAAAGATACGAAAGCGGACATAAACCACGAAGGAAGATGCAGTGTTTGTTACTGGGCCTTAAGACGGAACAGGATAGAGATGTCCACTCTCAGGACGTGAATTTATAAATTCAACACAACCCCTATAAAAATATCAGCATTTTTTCCTAGACCTGGATATGTTAATTCTAAAGTTTATACAGAAAAATGAGCAAGAAGAGCCAGAAATATTCCGAAGACAACAGTGACACAGTTTGTGATGGTGGAGGCTAGCCCTATGAGATATTAAAGCATGTGATACAGTGTCTTTAATCAAATATGTGGTGCTGGTGTACAAATAGACCAATGCAACAGAACAGAAAGTCTAGAAATAGACCCAAAAGCAAATAGAAATTTGCTTCATGTCTAGTGAAGGTGGCTCTTCAAATGAAAAGAAAAAAATGGATTAAAAACAAAAGACACTAGCACAAACTGTACAGTCATTCGGAAAAATTAAATAGGATTTATATTTCACGTTATATACCGGGACAAATTCTGAATGAATTAGAGATCTAAATGTAAAAAATAAAAATGTAAGTTCTAGATGGAAGAGTTCTTCTACAACCTTGGGGTGGGAGAGGCTATTACTATTCAAAAACACAAACAACCAACAAATACGTAAGCAAAGCTAAGAGACCAATTGAAAAAAATTTTACAACGCACGTCACAAAAAGTGCCAATCCCTAACACATAAAAAGAGCAATAAAGAAAAAGGCTATAGAGAAATAGGCAAAATATATGAACGGATAGTTCAAGAAATGAAAAGGGTGCTATGCAAAGAAAGCATTCACTCAGCAGGCCTGGCTGCTCTCCTTCGAGAGGCCGCCAACAGCCTGGTGTGGCATCAGGGAACATGGGTCCCACCATTCACAGGCGAGAGTGGCTCCCTGTGCTGTCACTGCACAAACAATATGGCTGATGACAGACACCTGCTTGGGGGGTCTGAAAGTCTGGTACATGCCACTTGGAGACTGCCCGTGTGACCAGTCTCCAGTAAGAATCCAAAGTGCTGAGTCTCCAGTGAGATTTCCAGGTTGCTAATGCCTACCAACCCTGCCTCTAGAGAGCTGTCCCCAAGATTCACGGGCCAAAGTACCAAATGGCATGTGATGGGGGCTATTCACTCCATGTCACTCCTGTAACAGCTAAAGTTTGAAAACAACCCAAAAGTCCAACAGACAGGGACTTACTCAATCCACTATGGCACATCCATACAATGGAGTACTATGCAGGGGTGAAAAAGAACTCCATACCACAAGCAGATGGACGTGCAGTGACGTTCAGGATATATTACTAAGTGGGGAAAAACCAAGATACACAGGAGTGTGTGCTCACTTTCAGAAAGGAAGCCCTGAAAGGGTGGGTCGCGCTCCAACAGACAGGGCTGCCTGTGGAGGAGGGGGAAGGGGCAAGTCGAGGGGATGGAAATGGAAGCGAGGCATCTCTCTCACTATATATAGTTTCCACTTGGGAATCTTGTAACTATTTTACACATGAGAAACATTTATAAAATTAAAACAAAAAAATTCCCCAAACTGACAATAATGTAAAATGAATGAACCTGAATATCAAATTGGGGATAAAACCAGTTAACAGAATTATTTCAAGTGACGTTAAAACACAACATTTTGATTGTGTGTCCTTTGTAGAATGTAGTCTGGGGAAAAGAGAACTGCAGAGAAACCTAAATCTCACTCAGCAGTCTTGTTACTATAATTTTACTGGTATTATTTTAAAGCAACATAAATAAACCATAGGACAAAGCAGATGAGGAATTATGTCAACGCGTTAGGAACTAAGATTTTGCAGCCCAAGATAAAAGAATCAAGTATAAGAATAAAGTAAAAATCTTATAACGTTGCATTTGAATTGGAAATATTATACGTAATTCATGTTCTTTTCTGAAGTAAGACATGCATGTATTTCCTAGCCATCTCGAAGCACTAAAAGCAGCGGGTCCTTGCAGGCCTGGGGCAGGAAGGGACCAGACGAACTTGCCGAAAAGCGAGGTGGCTGTCACATAAGCTGCGGGGCTGTCCCCAAAACACACAGCGGGGAGTCATGTCTTACTGACCTAAGCCTAATTCCAACGCACTTAGAACTCTCGTTCCAGTTTAGTGTAGAACTTGAACAGCCTTCCTGCCGGGCTCCCTCCCTCGGTCCTCTCCTCTATCATCTCCTAACAGCCTCTGACCTGGTAGGAGGGGGAAGGCAAAACCTCGTTCCATTTTCTTGGACATCACCCTTTTGAATCGTGTAAGTTACTGGGTATAATTTAATGGCTTTTACAAAAGAAAAACACATTGTCTGGATAGCTTTCACCCTAACGAGGCTCTAAGAGCTAATGGGAGACGTGACCACACTGTTTCACTTTAAGCTTTCTACCTTCTTCTCCCCCTGCCCTCCCTTTCCTTACCTGCCACCCAGTGAGAAGACCCGCCCCTCATCCTCATGAGTGCAACTGAGAGGCAGGAGCAGAGCCACTGTCTTCAGTGACAATGACCTGGCAGACCTGTCACTGTGGGGATCCGAATCTGTGCTGAGTCAGGACTGTAGAGGCAGCTTTCGGAGCAGAGGGGCAGTTAAAGGACCACAGCAGGAAGCGGAGGTCAACTGCACGCTCGAAGGAGGACGGACTCGGTACCTCGACAGTGGTGTGAAAAGGGGGGGGGGGTCCCTGCTCTAGACGGAGAGACTGAGGAGCTGGGACAACCTGATCCAACGCGTGGACTTGTCTGGACCCAACTTCAAATGAAACTGCCGCAAAAAGCCATTTTAGAAATGGTAAGTAAAATTCTTAAAATGGGTTGATTATTCAACAATCTCAAAGAATGGTCATAAATTTTTAGGAGTAATAACGGCATCATGAGTATTTTTAAAGGTCCCTATTTTTTTTAGAGGTGCCCAATTCGGTCTGTAAGGATGAAATGATGTCAGGTCTGGAATTTGCTTTAAAACACCCCAGCAAATGAGAGAGAAAGCAAAAAGGGGCAGGAGACCCAACAGTGGACCCAAGCGATTAAGCTGTGGGCGTCCATTATACAGTTTTTTCCAATTTGGTACAGGTTTTGAAAATTCTCATGGTAAGATTTTTTTTTTAAGTGAAGGAGAACAAAGCATAACAAATTCTTCCAATCTCAAGAACAAGGGAGAAAAGTTATAATCTACAAACAAGTAGATATATGTAAAACTATATTAAGATTTATATGAAATAAGATCACCTTAAATCTTGATTAATTATAATACAGATTAAAAAAAACCAAACTCAATCTGATACCCAGCAATCTTTATCACTGCAGGTAAATAACAGAATTCTCTAAAGAACGTGAACTCCACTCAAGCGATCTGGAAGAGGGCTGAGATAAAATTATATAGTACAACCTCGGCGCCGGAGTGACTGGCATTGAGTATCATACGAGGAAACATGAAAATCGAGATCCTCTTCATAGCCCTCCAGCACTCTTCTCCCGGCACAGGACTGGACCCAAGGGGCTGGTTGGTGGAGAGGCATTTCTCTACGCAGGTGACATCCTGCACACATCTCCCCGTGAGCGGAACCTTCAGATGAAGACTAGCTGAGCTCTGCTGTGGGAGCTTGAGAAATGGGATCAAACGGGGCCAACGATGGGACGGAAAGGGGGGCCCCGGACAGAGCACTGGCGCATTTACACAGTGGGAAGTAAGTGGCGGAGGAAATGGTTCTGTTCCCACCGACCTGCCACGGGGCCTCGGAGAAACGCTGACACTCTGCTGTGCAACACTCTGCTGTGCGAGGCTGTGCGCAGGGCCAGCTAAAGGGCCCTGGCCCCCAAGTCCTCCCCCCCGTGCTGCCGGGAGCGGTCCTGTGACCTCGAGCAAGTGGGAAAGCTATGCGAGCCTCTCTGGGCCTTGGTTTCTACACTATGGAAATGAGGAATTGTGTCTTTTTGTTCTTATTTCACCTCACTGCCCTCGTGGTGAACAAAGGAACGTTACACAGAAGCACTATAAAAACGCCCAGGCGCTGCAAACGTAAGTTACTCTTTTTCTCTTCTCTGGGTTATTATTACAGTTACTGTTGCTGTTGCTGCTGGTATTATAGACCATTTAATAATTGAAGCTTCAGCTCTTTAGCTTAAGCAACCAAAGATTTTGAGGTTATTCAGAAAACGATAATTCCATTTGTAAACTGGTCAGTCACTTTGCCTTCCCTTATTCCTCTGCTTCAATTTTGGTTATTTTCATGGCATATTCACTTTCCATGCAAAGGCCCGAAGGAAGAAAAAGCTCCGAATTCAACGTGATTCATTCTGTCACTCATGGGCTTGCAGGAATGACAGAGGTGGAGATGGCAGAGAATTGGTTCATCTGTAGAGGTCTCTCATCTACCACCCAGTGTCCGTTATGAAGAGAAATAAGGGTCATGCTATTTTTCTGAACATTTTGTGTTGATGCAGATTTGCTTCTTCTTCCCTTATCTCACACACACACAGGAACAGAACAAAACAAATAAAAAAACCTGTCGGGATGATCAGCGGCCAAAAGAAGAGAGAGAGAGGTGGGGGTGGGGGGTGTCCATGAGAAAGTGGGTTTGAAAACTGATCTTCCCGTGAACCACGCCGCACGGGCTGCCCGCTCACAGTCTGCGCACCAGGTGGAGAGCAGCGTCCGGCCCTGGGAGAGCCACGTGGTCTGGGCGCAGACTGTACGGCAGAAGCAGCTCCGTGGTGGCCTCAGTCTACATGCTCCCAGCCGCCAGCCATGACAGTGTGGCTCCACGTCCGGAGCTGGGGCGGCAACACTGGTGGACCTGAGAGAATCTTCTGGAAGGGCCTGTCTGTGTGCAGTGCTGCAGCTCCCCTCCACCTGAACGGCAAGGTGAGGCTGGGTGGTCATGGAAACTGGCCATGGATGACGCCACTGGGTGCCACACACACAGGCTTCTGATATCCAATCACGGCGGCGTCATGGTCATCATCATCATCATCATCGTTGGCTTGGTAAACCACCTGTCATCATCATCATCATCATCATCATCGTTGGCCTGGTAAACCACATGTGCCGTGACCAGAGGAGATGACTGAAAAATGAGGACAACTTCTTGAGACCCTGAGGAGAGTCAAGACTACTGTAATCAGCAAAAATTTAATTCTGCGTATTTGTTTTGTTTTTCATTTTCAGAGAGTTTAAGAAAGTAAACTTCTCAAAGGCAAGATCTGTATTTTTTTTCTCTGTTCCTTGACTTGGTTAAGTGACACAGAAGATGAATCACTCCACGTGGCTGGTGACAGGGAAGCCACCATATTCACAACACATTGTCCTGGTGCCTTCGGTCCTGCTCGGGAAGGGGGAACCACCGCAGTCCGAGCAGACACCTGGGTTCCGGTGGTGATCTCCCCGCACACCGGCGGGCGGCCACACGTGAGGCCCGGGCCCCTCCCTGGGCCTCAGCTGGCTCACCTGTCCAAGGAGCTGGACAGTGTGATCTCCAAGGCCCTTCTGGCCTGAGCACCAGAAGAAATCATCGACCTCCTTGCAAGAGCAATTCCTGTATTTCAGTTCAAGCATTAGGCTCGTCCGAACTGGCTTTTAAAAAGTAAGCTTTGGGATTTCTTTTATTAACTGGTGGTACCATCCTCTCAAAGATCAGTTGATCCTGCTCTCCATGTGTTTTCGTCCTTGCTTCTGGTCCTACTGGTAATTCGCCACTTTGACAGCCTTCCACGAAGGCCATTATCAGTTCCTTCATGTTGTGCTTCCAGGAGGACAGTAAGAGGGCCACTGCCCTACACACACAAATACGGCTGCTGCAGGAAAGAGCAAGGGGCCCTTTCGACTGCTGAGAATCGCCGAAGAGGCAGTTCACAAACGAGATGAAAATTTGAAAGCAGGTCTTGCCATTTCTTCCAGCTCTGGCTGACAAGTAACCTGTTTCCACCTATTTCCTCATTTGCCAGAAGGTGAAGAGAGTTCTGTGCTCTTGAATTAAGAAGCCCAGGGCTCGTTTCTTCTTCCAAGCATCATCCGACAGGCTTCACGCTTGTCAGGCCTGTGCTTGCCGGAGCCCAGTGGGCCACACGTGAGGACCACTCGGCATTAGCAGGTGTTCACGTGGAGCTCATGGGGCCTGGAGACTCGGGAGGTAAAAACACTCCCTCTCTGCATGTCTGGGGAAAGTCTCGGACCTGGAACACAGTCGGTAGATGCCAGCCAGCCTACTAGGGTCCTGGCACGGCAGGCTCTCAAGTTTTTAAATAAACAGGAGTCCTGTGGTTCTGCCAGCCACTGGTGGTGTTCCCAACCTCAGTATCTACACTGCTGCGTTTCGGTGATGGTTTCACCTGCATGTCCCACGGTTCCCTGTCCCGGCTGAGGCTCAGAGCCTGGGCCGTGTTCTATCTAGATATCAGGCTTCAGGTCACAGCGGACCACAGCCTCTCCGCAGCGGGAGTCTGTTAACTTCAGGCGAAATAACCTCACTTCACTCCTCCTATACGAGGATTTGTCCATTAAAAAAGTCCGTGAGTATCTTAACCAGCAGGGCAAGTCAGCAAATTAAAAAACAAAACAAAACAACTTTCAAGTTGCACATACTTCAAATTTCCATGAAAGAAAGAAGTCAGCACTAAGTTCCCACCAAGGGATTTTCCCCAGCAAAGGATACTGCAGGCCCGAGGCCCCAGCCCTGGTGCGGTACCCTCCCAGGCGGCGGCCACTCTCGGAGCAGTGCCAGGCAAACTGCTTGTCCTGCCCGGTGCTCAGCACCCACTCCAGCTCCAGGACAAACAGGACCATCGTCACTCTGCTCTGATGCGCTGCAAACCAAGAGGCAAGACAACAACCGTAAAGTCTCCTAAGGGAGGCTGGTGAAGCGCTCTCTTCTCCCCTCCCCCTCCTCCGCAGACACAGGCTAGGTAAGGGGCTCTCATCAGCAGCTGGGGGATGCCTCTCTACAGGGGCTCGTCCCAGTTTTTATGTGACGTGGGTGCCACTCAGCTCGGGACGGAACAGAGGGGTGGGCCGTGGTCTCATCTGAAAGCCTGGCAGAGGGAGGAGCCGACTCCAAGCCTCTCACGCGGTGCTGATGTGACTCAGCCCCCCACAGGCTGCTGACCGAGGGCTTCGGGTCCTTTCTGACTGTGACATGGCCTCCGCTCTGTTCCTTAGCTCACAGCATGGCAGCTGCGTCTATCGGGAAAGGGAGCAGGACGGAAGCCCCTGTCTTTTGTAGTCTAGTCTGAGATGGGATAGTCAGTCCCCGCCTGCTTTAGATCCAGCCCTCGCTCAAGGACACGCATACCGTGAGGCAAAGGTCACTGGGAGTCTCCTTTGAAGCTGCACGCCACAATGTGTCCCATTTTTAAAATGGCCCCAACAGTGCAACATGATAGCCCAAGATTTGTAACAAAGACAGTTAAAAAAATATGTTAAAGAACAAAAACTCAGGTCATGTAAAGGAAAATATAAAATGCGTAGGCCAGAAAAAACAAGGAAAAAATGGAGAGGGGTTGGATTTTCACGACTGTGTTAAAATCACGAAAAAGCCGTCATGTGTAAGAGAGAGTATACTTATTTTTTGTGGCTCCAATTGGCTGAGCAAAGACCAACAGGGGAATGAACGTTCTAGCACTTGGCACATCACATTAGTTTTTGATTTTTTATAGGAGTTTATTTGTACCAAACTGACGATATGTGCCCGTTATCACACAGCACGTGAGTGGTCTGGTTGGTTACCCGTCTGTATCTTCCACGTGACTGTAAACTGCTCATGGGCAGATACCACACATCTTGTTCACTATTACAGTCCTCGGTTATTGGAACAATGACTGGTACTCGATAAATACAGTTACTCAAAAAATACCGGAGAAGTGACGTGTGAAAAAAATAGAGACTAACTCTACAGGGAAATGAATTTTGGTTCAAAATCCACAACTGAAAAACTCAATTCTTAGCATTTTCCCAAGTCAGCATGGGTCTGGAGGCTTCCGAGGAGATGTGGGGTGGCCAACGGGATAAACGAGGCCTAGAGACTTGGATGAAATGACCTCAAGGTGTTACAAGGTCCAGTGTTCTGATCCCGAGACACTGTTGGCCTGGACAAAGAAATCCGTGGCAAACGTCACTCCCGATCCACAGGAAGGAAATGGCCTGTGGCAGTCTGGCGGTAGTGAAGCTACCATCCAACCGTAATTCCCTCCCTTAGTCTACACACGCTGAGCCTGGTCTCCACGCCTGCCGCACAGCTGCGAGCAAGGTGGTAGCGTGGGTGGGAGGCTGGAGGCCAGAGGCCAGAGGCCAAAGGCCAAAGGCTGCGGGCTGGGCAGCCACACCGACCAGCTGAGGCCCTGCACTGGACCAGCTGCAGGACCACAGGCCAGTCAGCTTACCTCTTCAGGCCTCAGCATCTTCCCTCTGAAACAGGGGTAATTGCGACCTCAGCTTGCTCTGCTTTAAAGGGCCAGCCTACTTAAAGTAAGGCCCCTCCTGTGGCCGGGGAGCCACCAGGAATCCTCCCCAAGTCCGGGCCGGGCAAAGCACCACTCTCACGCCTACCTGGATAGGTTTTCACAGGAGTCATCTTGTTATAATCTTCTGATAAAATGAATTCCTACAGAAAAGAAGAAAAATGCTAAGTGAAAGGAAATTCTGTAAGTGAATAAATGTATTTTGGTAAAACCAGGTTGAATAAAGCAAACATCATAGAATTACTGATACATCTAACATTAGTATTTTGCCAATCAACTCAGCATTTCTGTCCCTATTTAAAAGTGGTAATCATAACTGTGACTCATTTGCAATTATCCTAATTTTTATCTTATAACTGATGGTAATCTTTTTTATGAGTATGCATTCGAACAAAACTGGATCAAGTTCTGAGTCCTGATACTGACAAATTTTGAAGATAAGCCTGATTTGAATTATTTTTCTTTCTTTTCTTTAATTCTCACCTGAAGACATTTTATTCATCGTTTTTAGAGAGAGAGGGTGGGAGAGAGAAGGAGAAATACTGATCTGAGAGAGAAACATCGATTGTTTGCTTTCCTGTACACATCCCGACTAGTGACTAAATCAGCAACCTGGGTATGTGCCCTGACTGGGAGTCGAACCTGCGACCCTTTGGTCTGTGGGGCGACACTCCAACTGGCCAGGGCAAAGTATTTTTCTTTCAATGGTGCCACAGCTAAAAATTTGCAAGGCCCTGGCCTGTGCCCAAGTAGATGGCAATCTCTTGCCTGAGAAAAAACACTTTAAAGACTTTATTTCTAGATTCGGTTGCTATTTCCCCATCACAAGCTTCTGGAGGCTGCATCTTACTCATCCCTGTGTCCCAGGGCGGCTGGCAGAGAGATAATCGATAAACGTTGATTGAGTGAATATTCGAAAGGCACCTCTCAATCTGAGGAGATTAACTTGAATGTCAAATGTACTCAGAATAAATTTTTATGTGACACAAACGCACTCTGGGGATGCAGGACAGCGGGCGAGCCTGTCTCACCCGCGTCGTGCAGCTCACTTCGCCGCGCCGCGTGGACACGCTCCCGTCTCCCATCGGCACGAGGAGGGCGCGTGCAGGACAATACGGTGTTTGAGAACACATTCACACGGTGGGCGTTACAGTGCGGCTACAGCTGTTCTACTTTACTATTCGCTGCTATTGGGAACCTCTTACTGTGCCTGACTATAAGTTAGAACTCATCCCGGGTGTGTGTGCCTAGGAGCAAACCCAGTGCGCCGGGTTCAGGACTGACCGCCCGCCCTCTCCGGCGTCCCCACGGGCTCCGAAACGAGTCCTCCACGGGTGAGGAAGGACTACTACGTCACAAGAAAATTATTCATTTACCAATTTCCTCTTTGAATTAGGAGTTATTTAGAAAAAACTTATTTGTAAGCAGCGCTATTTACGGCTACCTCTTTGTTGGTAATTTCTAGTTTTACTGGCTTATATTTAGAAAACATTTCATGTTAAAAAATTTAGTAAGATGATCTTCATGGTCAAGATATTAATGATTTTGTAAGTGTTCTGTAGATAAGAGAAAAATGCTTTCTATCCAAAGTTCTAGATCTATTTATATATCTATTTAATTAAATTTGACTATAGTTTTCAAATATTCTATATTTTTACCTATTTGTGTATTTGAATTTCAAACTCAGAGAGATGCGGCTAAAGAAATGGGCTTTCATTTTAGTGTTGATTATTCTGATTATAAAAGTAGTATCTTACCGTACATAAACAAAAGCTATGAAACAATATTGAGAAGGAAATTCAATTGCCTATAACTCTGCCAAACAGTGAAAATTCTTGTTAACATTTTGACTGTTTTGCCTGTCAATCTTTTCCTCTGCGTACATTAAACACACTGCATCAGAATGGCAGCACTACTGATACTGGTCGGCAGTGCTCCTTGCTAACCTAAGATTCTTGATCATTAAACATTCTTTGAAAACCTAAGTGTAAGGGCTACATAATATTATATTAGTGGCTATGTCAGCTTTTATCTAATTAGTTCTCGATCATTGCATTTCTTTTTTTAAATATGTTTTATTTATTATGCTATTATGGTTGTCCTGTTTCCCCCTCTTTATTCCCCTCCACCCGGCACACCCCTTCCCACCCACATTCCCCCGCTTTAGTTCATATCCATGGGTCATACTTATAGGTTCTTTGGCTTCTACCTTTCCTATGCTATTCTATTTTCCAGAACATAGAAAAATCTATCTATTTTCTACTTCCCATTTATACTACTTATTCTCTGTACCTTTCCCCCCTCTCTCCCTCTCCCATTCTCCCCACTATAACCTCCATGTGATCTCCATTTCTGTGATTCTGTTCCCATTCTGGTTGTTTGCTTAGTTTTTTTTTTAGGTTCCATTGCTGATAGTTGTGAGTTTGTTTTCATTTTACAATTCACAGTTTTGATCTTCTTCTTTTCCTCAAGTAAGTCCCTCTAACATTTCATATAATAAGGGCTTGGTAATGATGAACTCCTTTAACTTGACCTTATCTGGGAAGCACTTTAGCTGCCTTTCCATTCTAAATGATACCTTTGCCAGATAGACTAATTTTGGATGGAGGTCCCTGCCTTTCATGACTTCGAATACTTCTTTCCAGCCCCTTCTTGTCTCCAAGGTTTCTTTAAAGAAATCAGCTGACAGTCTTATGGGGACTCCTTTGTAGGTAACTGTCTCATTTTCTCTTGCTGCTTTTAGGATTTTCTCTTTGTCTTTAAACTTGGGTAATGTAATGATGATGTGCCTTGGTGTGTTCCTCCTTGAGTCCAACTTCTTTGGGACTCTCTGGGCTTCCTGGACTCCCTGAAAGTCTATTTCCTTTGCCAGATTGGGGAAGTTCTCTTTCATTATGTGTTCAAATAAGTTTTCAACTAGAAGTTTTCAACTGGTCTTCCTCTTCTCCTTCTGACATCCCTATGATTCGGGTGTTGGAATGTTTAAAGATGCCCCCAGGTTCCTAAGCCTCTCCTCATTTTTTTTGAATTCTTGTTTCTTCATTCTGTTCTGGTTGAATGTTTATTTCTTCCTTCTGATCCAAACCATTGATTTGAGTCCAGTTTCCTTCCCATCACTTTTGGTTCCCTGTACATTTTCCTTTATTTCACTTAGCATAGCCTTCACTTTCTTTTGTATTTTGCAACCATACTCAACCAATTCTGTGAGCATCCTGATACCAGTGTTTTGAACCCTGCATGTGATAGGTTGGCTATCCCTTCACGGCTTAGTTGTATTTTTTTCCTGAGCTTTGATCTGTTCTTTCATTTGGGCCATTTTTTTTTGTCTCGGCACACCTGTTAGGAGTGGAGCCTTAGGTGTTTACCAGGGTGGAGCAACCCACGTGGCTGCGTTGTGACGCTGTATGTGGGGGAGGGCCCAAGAGGGAGTAGTGCTCCACTCTCTGCTAGATTTCAGTCACTTCCCCTGCTACCCATCAGCAAAGTGGGCCCTTCCGGTGCCGATTCCTGGGCAGGTGGTTTGTGTAAGTTCCAGGTCCCTCTGTGTCTCCCCAACAGACTCTCCTGTAAAGCTGGGAGTTTCTCTCACTGCCTCAACCCCCACAGGTGTTTTCAGTCAGAGGTTTGAGGCTTTATTTCCCCGCTGGAGCCTTGGGGTGCGGGTCTGTCTTGTTCCCCAGTTGTTCCTCCTGGTTTATCTGAATGCGAATGTGGGACCCTCGGTCCACCAGCTGCCCCCTTGCCTCGAGTCCTCTCCATGTGGCTGCCCATCTCCGCCCCTGCTGCCGGTCTGGGTGAGTGTGTCTTCTTTAACTCCTTGGTTGTCAGACTTCCATATAGTTCGATTTTGTGGCAGTTCTGGTTGGTTTTTGTTTTTAAATTTGTTGTTGTCCTTTTTTTGGTTGTGCAAGGAGGCACAGTGTGTCTGTCTACCTATGCCTCCATCATAGCGAGAAGTCTGATCATTGCATTTCTAACATACCAGTTCTTCTTATTATAATGAGATAGCCCTAATAATCCTTGTCTGTTTTATGATTATTTCTTTGAACAGTTTTCTAGAAATGGAATTATTGATATAAAAGGTACAACTACTTCTCAAGTTCTAGTTGCATATTACCAATAATATTCTAAATAGTTTGTGTTCCCTCTATTATTGCAAAAAGAGTCCATTTCATTGGATTCTAGCCAACATGCATATTCTAAAAATGATACTACTTAGATAAAAATGAAATTAAAATTTTTTAACACTCCAAAATGTTTACTGGCCTAGAAATACATATTAAAACAACAACGAGCTATCACCTCAGTCCTGTCAGGATGAGTATCATCAATAAATCAATAAACAACGAGTGCTGGTGAGGCTGTAGAGAAAGGGGAACCCTGGTGCACTGTTGGTGGGAATGCAGACTGGTGCAGTCACTGTGGAAAGCAGTATAGAGATACCTCAAAAAATTAAAAATGGAACTGCCTTATGACCCAGCCATCCCACTTGTGTGAATATATCCTAAGAACCCCAAAACACCAATTTAAAAGAATATATTCACCCCTACGTTCATTGCAGTGTTATTTATAATAGCCAAGATCTGGAAACATTCTAAGTGCCCATCCGTAGGTGAGTGGATAAAAAAGCCAGGGTACATTTACACAATGGAATACTACTCAGCCATAAAAAAGAAAGCCTTACCCTTTTTGACAGCATAGGTGGACCCTGGAAATTATTATGCTAATTAATAAATTATTAAGTCAGTCTGAGAAAGACAAATACCTTCAACCTCACTTATGCGTAGAATATAATGAACAAAATTAATTAAACAAAATAGAAACAGAATAATAGATACATAGCAAAGACTGACAGCTGTCAAAGGAGAGGGTGTTGAGGGGCTGGGTGACTAAAGGTGAAAGAATTAAGCAAAAAAGAAAAAAATATATATATCTGTATGGCACATAGACACAGACAACAGTGTGGTGACAGCCAGAGGAAAAAAGGGGTGGGGGAGGGGGAAGTGGGCAAAGGGGGGACAAATGGGGACAGAAAGAGACTTGACTTTGCATGGCGAGCACATGGTGCAGTGTACACATGAGGTTTTATTGAGCTGTACACTTGAGACTTGTATGCTTTTATTAACCAATTTCACCCCAATAA